TGGATGAAAATATGGGAATGTGAAGGAGTTCTTTTTGGGTTTTGATATTATGAAGAAGAGTGGAAAATCAGGGATGAAGGATGGGTTTAGAAAGGATGGGATAAATTCCAAATAAGGAATAAGAGATAAACACACTCTTATCTTAATTTGGAGCCAAATTAATACTAAAGGATAAGCTCACCTCTAGATTAACTTGGGGTTGAACTCTAATATTTAATCAAGATATTACACACTCAATCAAATATCTAGAACATAAAACTCACACTTAAGATAACCACTCTTAAGATATAGAATTAGGAATTTGGCTAAAATAGCATCACACTATTTTATGAATACTCAAAGAGTAAAAGGTTTTCAATATTCAAAGATGGGTTACAATGGCCATATGTCCTGAGTTATATAGGGAGAGGGGAAGGAGAAAATACATAATACATTGAATGTGAACATGAGGAAGCTTCCTAGCAACATCCACTTCCAAAGTATGGGGTAACACTCATTGAATCTTGTCTCCAAAGTGGGATAAAATTCAGGGATGGGGCTGGGGTTGTGGGGGTTTTGAGCTTTCGGTTGTAGTGGTTAGTTCCTGGGTTTTAAGGCTATTATTTGGGTAAAAATGAGGGGTTGTGTTTGGCCAATAAAAGGGGACAGGGCAGGGCAATATTAGGGGTGGTTTTGGGCATATGGGTTTGGGTTATTTGTGGGGGAACATGGGCAGGGATTAGTGGTTTGTGGTGGGTCAGGATTTTGGCTCTTTTTGGGTGTTGTGTTTGGGTTGTGAAGTGTATTTTGTCCAGGGGATGAATGGAATAAAGGGAGGGTTTTATTTGTATAATAAAAGGCTTAAAAGAAGGAAAATAACAACAAACACAAGGTTTTATTTTACACACTCTTATTTTCTGCCAGGGCTAAAATAAGAGAAGCTTTATTTTGAAATGAATTAAATGGCAAGGAGTTTTGGATGTTTAGGGTTGGGTTGGACGGAGTGGGATTTGGTCTGCGGAAACCTTGGGTCCGAAGTTATTCAGGCCTCTCGGGTTGAAGGACGTGGAATTCTCACTAAAACGGATCATAATGTTTCAACGTAAGTCCTTTGGTTTTTGCGAGGGTGTAGGACATGGGGGAGGGTATGATAGGGCCAAGCGCGGGTATAACATGATCATCCTTCGCGTATTTTCTTGAGCTCAGCACTTCTTCATTCATACCTATTTTAACAAAATGATAAAAAACAAAGGAAGTCTCATAATCATCAGCATTAGAAACGAGGGCGTGATTAGGCAGCTCCGGTGCCCTTGAAATAAGTTCATCAATTATGACCTCTTCTTCATATTCAACATGGAAGTCAAAGACATCCTCAACGGGGATGTTTATATTGTCGGAGCTTTTCATTTCCTCATCAAGAGTTGGTTCTTCAAGTGGAATTGTATCATTTATTGCTCCTTCAAAGGAACAATTTTCTTCATCATCCTTGGTCCACTCTTCATATGGGATGGCATGCTTATTCGAGCACTCTAAATTGTTATGTCCATAGCCACCACACATGAAACATCGTCGGGAAGCCCATTGTAATATTGCTCCGTTTGCAAGGATAATTTCTAGGTTTTTGAGATGTCTTTTAGAGACCATATCTCACCAATCAGATATTGGAATTGGGTGATTCCAACTCTCAGTGTTAGATATTCAAGTCCTTAATGACATATCAAAAATTCAGAGCCATTGAAAAATGTTTTCTACCTCTTTGGAGACAAATTCAGCAAGGTAGTCGGAATCCGGCTAGAACTGCGCTATAAACTTTGGGAGGGCATATCTCTCAAACCGTAACTCGGAATTGAGTGAAATCAGCGGCCAGACGTATTTAAAAGTTTAAGCTACTGAACTGGAAAGTTTCACCTTCAAATACGTCGTGTAGAATCCTCCGTGCTCAATGCCATGGAACTGAAAGTTTCTGGGGAAGAAATTTCAGCAACGTTCTTTTGGGCAGCGTTTCCGAAGCCGGTCCTCAAGGTTATCATCGAGACTTAAGAAAGCCTCGAAGCTGAGCTTTGATACCAAATGTTATATCTACGCTCCGGGTTTGTCGGTATTAAGCTCGAATTTAAGGAACAAGCTCCTTCTTTTGCTGGATGGGTTAATAGTCGATTATCAGTATGGTGATAATCAATTATATAGGACTGCAGGAGTTTCCCTTGATGTATGATAATCGATTGTCCATGTAAAATACTCCCTCCGTCCTAAAACTTTCTTCTAAGTTTGACTTTTCCTCATTTTTAAATTTTGGCTTTGACTTCAAATTTTACCCTGCTTAAAAAAGATTTTTTGAAATTTTTTTTTGCAACCATTCAAAATATAGAGTTAGAAGATAATTGGTGTAAATACATGATGGTATTAATGTCATTTGTCACCTTTTTTTTTCTAATGGGAAGGTAGTTTTAGGACGGAGAAAAAGGGGAAGTGGGAAGAAAGTTTTAGGACGGAGGGAGTAATCGATTGTCAAGTGATTCAGTTTCTCAGTAGGAGCTTCAGAAGTTTAGGAAAAATAAACAATCGATTTACAAGAAGTGATAATCGATTATGGAAGGCTGCAGATTTTCTGGGAATGAGTGATAGTCGATTATCTTAAAGGGATAATCGATTATTACTACCTATAGATGTTTCCAATGGAACTGATAATCGATTGTGGGGAGTGATAATCGATTATTTGGCAGTGAGTCTGGACAGGAAGAAAGGCGTTTTTGCGGGGAATGGGTTGGGAATATATGGGGCTGATGAGGGAGTTCTTTTGGGTATTTTTAATGGAAGAAAAGAGTAAGATTAAGAGGAGAAATGGGGAGGTATGAAATGGAAGAAAATCAGGGATGGATAAACCAAGTTGGTGTTTAAGAGATATTACACAGTCTTATCCTAACTTGGGGTTTGAATCTAGAATTTAATTAAGATATGACACACTTAATCAAATATCTAGAACCTAAAACTCACACTTAAGATAACCACTCTTAAGATATATAATTAGGAATTTGGCTAAAATAGCATCACACTATTTTAATAATACTCAAAGAGTAAAAGATTTTAATATTCAAAAGGTTGTGTTTACAATGGCCATAGGGCCTGATTATATAGGGAGAGGGGAAGGGGGAAATATATAGTACATTAAATGTAAACATGAGAAAACTTCCTGGAAGCAACTATTTCAAAAACATGGGATAATACCCATTTATTCTTGTCTCCTTGATGGAAAGAAATCAGAGATGTGTGCCTTGGATTGTGGGGTTGCTTGGCATGTGAATGAAGGCTAATTTTATTGATGAATGGGTTGATTATTTTGCCAAGGGGGAAGGGATTGTGCAGGAGGGGGCTGGTTGTTTTGGAGGTTTATTGTGGGTCGTTTTATGGGGAACAAGGTAAGCTTTGATTGGTGTAATGGTGGGTCCTTATGTCTTGGATCATAGTGGCTGTTTGTGTATCCAAGTTGATGGATATAATGGGGAACAATGATGGGGTTAGGGCAGGGATTTTTGGCCAAGAGTGAAGGGAAGAGTGGATGGGAATAATGTGGTTTTTGGGCTGGTTGTTTTGGATATTTTGGAGTTGGTTTTTGGTGAAGCCATCCAGGGATATAACAAATGTGCTCGGGGCATTGGTTAATCCAAATGTCATAACCAACCATTCGTATAACCCAAACTTTGTTTTGAACGCTGTCTTCCACTCGTCTCCTTCAAAGATTCGAATTTGATGATACCCACTCCTAAGATCAATTTTTGAAAAGATCTTGGAGCCATGCAACTCGTCCAACATGTCATCTAGACGAGGAATCGGGTACCAATACTTGATAGTGATCTTGTTGAGAGACTGACTATCGCAACACATACGCCACGTCTCATTCTTCTTTGGAACTAAAAGTGCCGGGACAGCGCACGGGCTAAGACTTTCTCTCACGAAGCCCTTAGCTAACAACTCATCAACTTGACGTTGAATTTCCTTCGTTTCTTCAGGGTTCATTCGGTATGCTGGTTTGTTGGGTAGGGCAGCCCCCGGGATGAGGTCAATTTTGTGTTGGATGTCTCGTTTAGGAGGAAGGCCGTGGGGGACATCTTCGGGGAACACTTGAGCATATTCTTCAAGGATCGGTTGGGCTAGAGGATGGGGCTGTTTTGGCAGGACAGTGGGTTCGGCTTCTCCATCTTCAAGGAGAATGAGGTCTTTAACTTCATGGAATTCATGTTGCTTAGCTTGTAGGATGGTTGAGATAAGGACGGGAGGGGGTTTTTGTGGCTGTTTGGCCGTGGGTGATGTGGGGGGAGGGAGAGGCGTCTAGGTGATCTTCGTTTTATTCATCAAGAACGAATAAGTGTTGGCGTAGCCGTCATGTTGCACACGGTGATCAAAGAGCCACGGCCGTCCCAAAAGTATGTGGCATGCATCCATAGGAATGATATCACACCATACGTCGTCCTTGTATGATTTGCCGATACTCAAAGAGATGAGACTTTGCGTATCAACACGTAAGCCCTTGCCATGATTCAACCATTGAATCGTGTAAGGCTTAGGATGTGGAGAGGTCTTCAAACGCAGCTTATCTACTATGGTTTTGGACGCCACATTGGTGCAACTTCCACTCTCAATGATAAGCGAACACACCTTCTTTTGGACCGTACAATGTGTGTGAAAGATGTTTTCAGGTTGCACTTGTTCTTTGGGCAGGTTATAACACTCAAAGTCCTTCGGATGACCAAGAGTTCTCCTTCATCGAGGCCAACATACTCGTCTAGTTCTTCAACTTCTTCAACTTCTTCTTCAACCCAAGTTGGGTCAAAGTCTTCTTCATCACATTCGACAATGGCCATTACCTTCTTGTTAGGACATTCATTGGCATAATGACCTCGTACTTGACACCGAAAGCAAACGGGTGCTTTCTTGGTGGGATCAGCCCGGGGCGTGAAAGAGGATGAAGGGTTTCTTGAGGTAGATGGGGTGGAGGAGGAGGGGTTTGGGCCGTGGGCAGTAGTGGGGTTTTTGGGGGTAGTATAAGGTAATTTTGGTGAAGGATAAGGTGATTTGGATGTGGAGGAGTAGGTCCGTAGGGAGGGGGTGTTATTCTTGGAGAAAAAAGCTTTGGATTTCTTATGTTGAGCTTCAACTTTGAGGGCTAACTTCGTGAGTTCTTCTAGAGATTCGTAACTTTGCAACTCCACCGTATTGGCTATTTGTAGGTTTAAGCCGAATAGGTAACGAACAAAGGTTTGTTCGTCATCTTCTTGCAAGTCACATCTCAACAAGAGCTCTTCAAACTCCCGGTTGTATTCTTCAACGGACTTAGAACCTTGCCTAAGCGTTTGAAGCTTAGCAAAATTCTCACGAACATATTCAGCGGGTAAAAACTTCTTCTTTAGAAGGGACTTCATCTTCGCCCATGTGGACACCGATTCTTTGTCGTTTCTTCTCCTCTTGGTGCACGTATTAGTCCACCAAGTCGATGCATACTTCCGGAACTTCAAGGCCACTATCTTGACCTTCTTTTCGTCGGAAACATCTTTGAAGTCAAAGACGCGTTCCACTGTTTCTAGCCACTCGAGGAACTCATCCGGGTCGTTCTTTCCTTCAAAAGTTAGAATGTCAACTTTGAAGTCAGAACCCTCATTGGCTTTAGGCTTTACGGTTCCACTAGAATTAGCGTCCTCTTCACGGTCACTTCCTTGTAGCTCGTTGAGTTTCATCTTCGTAAGCTTGGCTAGCTCTTTAGCCAAGTACTCTACTTGGGCTTTCAAGGCTGCATTGGAGGCAATGAGCTCTTCATGGGACATCGTTTGGGATTCATTTGACATGGTTGAAGTGGATAGAGGGTGAGAGGGAGTGTGGATTCTGGCCGTGGATTTGGGGAATGAAAAGGGAGGGAGTTTGAGCTTGAACAACTTACTTTTAGAGGCGTGTGAATGGTCCTTGAGGGATGTGCAACACAAAGCTCTGATACCAAATGTTAGGCTCAACTTCAAGGGGAAATGGTGGAGAGGGTAAAGGCTGTGCAGGAAGGGCGAGAGGGGGTATATTTAGGGGAGTTTGTGAAGGGAGGTTTGAGAGGGAGAGGGCTGTTTTATGGGGTGCTTTGGGTTGGGACGTGTGGGATAGGAGAAGGGGGAGTTTTAAGGTGTTCTTGGTTAAGGGAGGAGAAGGGAAAGTGAAAAAGGGAAGGGTATTTGAGGGGGTGGCCGAAATAGAGTAGGGAGGAGGAAAATATATTTAGTTGTTTTCTTTAAGGAAGATAAACCAAGTAGGTGTTAAGAGATATTACACACTCTTATCTTTTACTTGGGGTTGAATCTAGTATTCAAATAAGATATTACACACTTATTTAAATAACTAAAACCTATAACTCACACCTAAGAGAACCACTCTTAAGATATAGAAATAGGAATTTAAAATAGAACACACAAGTGTATTACTATTGAAATGGGAAATACAATCTGATGATGTTACAAAGGCCTATGGCCGAAATATATATATAGCAAAACAAGGGAGACTACCAAGTCTCTTATTCACACAAATTAAAGGAATAATAACCACTTATTTGAGTCCTTTGGTGGGGAAGAAAATCAGAGATAGGGGCTGGTTTGTGGGGCTGTTGTTGGGTTATTATTGTGGGCAAGTTATGGTGGAGTGGGCTGCCATTTTGGAGGGTATTGGGTGGGTTGATTCGGCCAGGCAGGGGGTACAAGGGGTGAGTGGGTTGGCTATTTTGGAGGGATGTAATAGGTAGTTTATGGAGAGCAAAGGTGAGTTGGGTGGCTGCCAATGTTATATCTAAGGCTCCGGGTTTACCGGTAATAAGCGCAAACTCAAGAAATAACGCCTTTTGATTTCAGGACAAGAGGAGAATCGATTGTCTATCTTAGATAATCGATTGTCTGGTGGTGCAGTTTCTTGGATTTTTCTGGAGTGATTGATAGTCGATTATCAGTATGGTGATAATCGATTATAGAGGTCTGCAGGAGTTTCCCTTGATGTATGATAATCGATTGGCGAGGGTGATAATCGATTAACGACGCATGCAGGTGTTTTGATGGAGGAATGATAATCGATTATTAACAAGGATAATCGATTATTTTGGCAGATTTCTGGGAACGAAATGATGGTGTTTGTGTGGGGAAAGGCTGGAAAAATATGGGGATGGTGAAGGAGTTCTTTTGGGTATTTTTAATGGAAGAAAAGAGTAAGATTAAGAGGAGAAGTGGGGAGGTATGAAATGGAAGAAAATCCGGGAAGGATAAACCAAGTTGGTGTTTAAGAGATATTACACACTCTTATCCTAACTTGGGGTTTGAATCTAGAATTTAATTAAGATATGACACACTTAATCAAATATCTAGAACCTAAAACTCACACTTAAGATAACCACTCTTAAGATATAGAATTAGGAATTTGGCTAAAATAACATCACACTATTTTAATAATACTCAAAGAGTAAAAGATTTTAATATTCAAAAGGTTGTGTTACAATGGCCATAAGGCCTGAGTTATATAGGCAGATGAAGGGGGAGATAATGCACAATACATTGAATGTAGACATTAGGAAACTTCCTAGCAACATCCTTCTCCAATGCATGGGGAAATATTTCTTCATTCCTGTCTCCTTGGTGGACTAAAAATCAGGGATGGGGCTGGGGTTTGTGGGGGTTTTGTGTTTTGGTTCCTTGTGGTTGTTTCCTGGTTTTTTTGTGGCTATTATTTAGATAAAAATGGGGGTTGTTTCTGGCTAATAGAAGGGGGCAGGGATGGGGGATATAATGTGTGGTTTTGGACTTTTAAGTTTGGGTTATTTGCAAGGGAACATGGGCAGGATATATGGCTGGTGGTGGGTCATGGTTTTTGGCTCTTTGTTGATGTTGTGTTGGGATTGTGAGGGTTATTTGGCCAGGAATTTAGAGGAAGAGAGAGAAGATTTTATTTGTTTATTAAAAGGCTTAAAAGAAGGAAAATAACAACAAACAAAAGGTTTTGGTTTACACACTCTTATTTTCGGCCAAGGGCTAAAATAAGAGTAATAAAAACTTTATTTTGAAATGAATTAAATGGAAAGGGGATTTGGATATTTAGGGTTGGGTTGGACCGAGTGGGAGTCGGTTTGTGGAACCCTTTGGCCCAAAGTTATTCTGGCCGCTCGGGTTGAAGGACTCGGAGTTCGCACTAAAATGGATCATAATGTTTGAACGTGCATCCTTTGGTCTTTGCAAGGGTGTGGGACATGGGGGAGGGTATGATAGGGCCAGGCCCAGATATAACAGCCAAGATGGGCCAATATGTTTTGTTTGTTTGCAGCATGTTTCCTTACACCTAATGGAGAGTATAATGGGGAACAATTGTGGGGGCTGTGACATGGGTTTGGGAAGGTTTTTGGCTGATTGTTTTCGGCCACAACAAGGGGGAAAGAGGGGCTGGTTGATTAGGCTATTATTGGGATTGTGATTATTAATCTAAGGTGGGTTCAAAAGGTGGGGTGATGTGTGGGCTTTGGGTTTATTGTTTTGGCCAAAGGTGAGGGCAGAAGAGGAGGGTTGGGTTGTGGTTTTAAAGTTTGGTTTGGATATTTAGGGTGTGGTGGTTTTAGCCAAGGTTGGGGTTCGGCCTCATGGTGGGGAAGGATCCAAGGACATTATGGTTAGGTTATGGTTTTTAATGGTGATAAATTCACTCCAAAAGGGATCATAACACTTGGCCATTATTCTGTTGATTTGTTTAAGGACTTTAGAGTCGTTGGTGGTTACCCGGGGTATATCATGATACCTTTGAAGAGCTCTCTAAGCTGGCTCTCAAAGTTGAGTCCCAACTTAAGAGAAACATGATGTACCCCGGGATGCTCCTACAAGCACGGAGGTAACACCACAAACCATAAAACAAATCAAAGGGTTAATATCTAAGTGTTATGATCCTTTTTGGGCTGAACTCATTAACCTTTCGTACCCTAAAACCCAAACCATAACCCTGCTCCTCCAAAGCTTTTCTTGATATCAAGCCTTTCCATATCCTTCCCAAATATCCAAAGTCTTTTATTTTCATTTGATGAACAAAATAAAGTCCTTTCTCTCCTTTTTAGCCCTGAACAAAAATGAGGTCAGAAGGACAAGCCTTGTGTATTATTTCTACTTCTTTTGTTCCTTTTAATTAAAATAAAACCTCCCTTTCACTTCCCTACTTCAAACCCACGAATTTCCCAACTCTTTTACCCAAAAAACAGGCCACATTATGTTCCACAAAACAAAAACAAAATCAGGAAAAGTTTTCCTTGATTGAATAGTGCTGATTTTGTCTTGTTGTTCAAAACCCAATCCCCTTCATATCCTTCAGCATATGGCCGAATTTCCCACTCCAAATATCCATAAACACAACCCCATTTACCAAGGATAAAGATAAAAACATCAAGGAACCAAAACCATTGATTGAATAGTGCAAACTTTGTCATATTATCCTTAATTGTCAAAGTTACAACTTTCCTTGATTTCCTTCTCACATGGGAGGAATTAATGAACCATACTAAGCCAAAATCCCAGCCTTTTAACCTACTTTTCCTGGTCAATGAGTGCTGCCCACTAAGATTAATAACACATGGATATTAATCACATGATTTGTATGAAAGTAAAGTGTAATTTCCCTTATTTTGCATTATATATTTCGGCCATGAGGCCTTGTAAACAGCATCTCATTCTCATTAATAATATTACTCTTGAAGTATTCCCTGAATTGGTGTGAAGCTAGTTCAATCCATTTCCTAATGAAATATCTCTAAAGTTGGCCACTTTTGAGTGTGTGTTAGGAGTCTATTTAATACTTTAATAGTGATTATTATTGTATAAAATAGATAACAGCCCCAAATGTATTAAGAGTGTGTTTATCTCTTACATGTTGTTTGGTTTATCCCTATTCAAAAACCACAAAACATTTTCTCTGCTTTTCTTCTGATCCTGATTCTGAACACCTAAATAATCGATTATCCTTAATTGATAATCGACTATTGTAGTCTGCAGATTCTTCTCCAAAGTACAAAACTTCTCATAATCGATTTTCAATAATTTGATAATCGATTATCCTCATCCTCAGAAAGTATCCAGTTCCGAGTAAATCCTTGTAAATCGATTATCCTCATCCTCAGAACATTCCTCGTTCTGTATCAAACCCTATTAATCGATTTACTGAGCTTGTTAATCGATTATCTCCCACTTCCAAATCCTGAGTGAATCATTTCCTGAGTTTGAGTACAACAAAACAAAACCTCGTTTATCCGTACTTCACCCTTTTCCGAACCCCCTCCGACTACCTCAAAGGTAACTCCAAACACCCTTGCTCAAAATACCCATTCAAAACCCAATTCTATCCCGTCTACGTCCGCCAATCCACCCCCGTTCAAAACAGCCCAAACAAACACTCGAATTCCCAAATGTTTTTGTTGTCAAGGCATAGGCCACTTTGCCAACGAATGCCCTAACAAGAAGATAATGGCCAATGTTGAATGGGAAGAAGAAGAAATCAGTCCCTCATGGGCTGAAGAAGAACTTGAAGAAGAAGAGTGTGTTGGAGCCGACGAAGGAGAACTCTTGGTCATCCGAAGGACCTTGAGTAGCATAGCCAGTCTCGATGATCAACTACAACGGGAAAACATCTTCAATACCCGTTGTACTATCCAAAAGAAGGTGTGTACTTTGTTCGTGGATAGCAGAAGTTGTACCAACGTGGCTTCAAAAACGTTGGTAGATAAGCTGAAGTTGAAGACCTCACCACACCCGAAGCCATACACGATTCAATGGTTGAACCATGGCAAGGGGTTACGTGTGGATTCCCGGAGTTTGGTCTCATTAAGCATCGGACGAAGTTATTCCGACGAGATATGGTGTGATATCATTCCAATGGATGCTTGTCATATTCTATTGGGATGACCTTGGTTGTTTGATCGGAAGGTGTTCCATGATGAATATGCCAACACATATTCATTCCTCATCAACAAGAAGAAGGTTACCCTCACATCATTGCCCCCCTCTAACCCCATGGCTTCCCCCCCATAAGAAACCCCCGTCCTCATTTCTACCATATTGCAAGCCAAACACCATGAGTATGAGCCCCGAAAAGAACTGATTCTCTTTGAAAATGAAGCACCCGATTCCACTACAACCCTACTCCCACTTCACCCATTTGCCAAGCCCATTGTTGAACAATTCTCCCATGTCTTTCCCGAAGATGTGCCTCACGGCCTACCACCAAAACGAGACATTCAACACAAGATTGATCTCACTCCAGGAGCTGCCCTACCCAACAAACCCACGTATCGAATGAATCCCGAGGAAACCAAAGAATTTCAACGGCAAGTTGATGAGTTATTAGCCAAATGATTCGTGAGAGAAAGCTTAAGCCCCTGTGCTGTTCCGGCTCTTTTGGTACCAAAAAATGGTACTTGGCGTATGTGTTGCGATAGGCGAGCCATTAACAAGATTACCATCAAGTATAGGTACCCCATACCTAGGCTTGAGGACATGTTGGATGAGCTTCATGGGTCCAATATCTTTTCAAAGATTGACCTCCGAAGTGGTTATCATCAAATTCGAATCTTTGAGGGAGATGAATGGAAAACAGCATTCAAAACGAAGTTCGGGTTATACGAGTGGCTAGTTATGCCATTCGGATTAACCAATGCACCAAGCACCTTCATGAGGCTAATGAATCAAGTGTTGAAGCCATTTATTGGTCACTTTATCGTAGCATACTTTGATGACATTTTGATATACAGCCGGAATGAGGAAGATCATGCTAATCACCTCACTTTGGTGATTAAGAAATTGGAAGAAGAGAAGTTATATGCCAACCTTGAGAAGAGTCAATTCTTTTCTCAAGAAACCGAGCTCTTGGGATACTTTCTCTCAAGTGAAGGAATCAAGGTGGATGAGAAGAAAACACAAGCCATACGAGATTGGCCCATTCCCACAACAATGCAGCAAGTTAGAAGTTTTCATGGCCTTGCGTCCTTCTATCGGCGATGTGTGAAGAACTTTAGCACCATCACAGCCCCCATCACGAACTTGACGAAGAATCTGAAGTTTGAGTGGAACTCGAGGTCCCAACAAGCCTTCGAAACAATCAGGGATCGCTTGAGGCATGCCCCCGTATTGGCCCTTCCCAGTTTCGAGAAGTTGTTCGAGGTGGAGTGTGATGCATCGGGAGTTGGCATCGAGGCTGTCCTAACTCAAGAGGGACACCCGGTTTCCTACTTCAGCGAGAAGCTCAATGACACACGGAGATTCATCTACCTACGACAGAATTCTATGCGTTAGTACGGTCCCTTGAGCATTGGCGACACTATCTCGTGAGTAAGGAATTCATCTTTCACTCCGATCATGAGGCGTTGAAATACATTCAAGGGCAGCACAAGCTTCGACCCCATCATGCCAAATGGGTTGAATACATTCAAACCTTTACATTCACCATCAGGCACAAGAACGGGTCCATGAACAAACGCACGGATGCATTGTCCCGGTGACACTTGTTACTAACGGTACTTAGTACCAAACTTCTTGGTTTTGAATTTTTGCACGAACTCTACAAGGATGATGAAGATTTCAAGGAGATGTATGCCCAATGCTTATCTCGGCCCCATGGAGATTACCTAATCAAAGATGGTTACCTCTTTTGTAGTAATCAACTGTGCATCCTGAGGAGCAGCGTTCGTGAAACCCTGATAGACGAGATCCTGGTGGTGGACTAGCCGGTCATTTTGGGATTAACAAGACTTATTTGATGATGAAAGAGCATTACTTCTGGCCGAAAATGGAGAGAGAAGTCGAGCACTTCATCAAGAGATGTCACACTTGTCAACTTGCAAAGTCCCAAGCCTTACCACAAGGAATGCTGTTAGGGTTGAACCAGGGGTCTTATCAAGTTGATGTTTCTAAGCTTGGACAAAATATGGAGTACGTGAAAGGAGTTCTTTTGGGTTTTTGATATTATGAAGAAGAGTGGAAAATCAGGGATGAAGGATGGGCTTAGAAGGGTTGGGATAAATTCCAAATAAGGAATAAGAGATAAACACACTCTTATCTTAATTTGGAGCCAAATTATTACTAAAGGATAAGCTCACCTCTAGATTAATTTGGGGTTAAACTCTAGTATTTAATCAAGATATTACACACTCAATCAAATAACTAGAACCTAAAACTCACACTCAAGAGAACCACTCTTAAGATATAGAATTATGAATTTGGCTAAAATAGCACCACACTATTTTAAGAATACTCAAAGAGTAACAAAGTTTTATATTCCAAAAGATGTCTTTTACAAAGGCCATATGGTCGAATTTATAAAGAGGAAAGGGGGGGGACACACAATACATTGAATGTAACTACAAAGAAACTACCAAGCAACTTCCTCTTCCACATGTTAAGAATAATAGCCATTTATTCATGTCCTTTTGGTGGGATGAATTCAGAGATTTGGGCTGGTTTTGTGGGGTTATTTCAGCCAGTAGGTAGGGGAGCAAAAGGGGGAGATTGATAGGCTAATTTGAACTTATGCTTTAGACCTTGAGTGGGGAACAAGGGCTGGTTGATATGGTTGGTGGCGGGTCAGGTTCTTTTGGCCTTTTGTGGGTGTTTGTTTGGCCAAAGTGGGGAGCACAAGGAAGCACATTTAGTGGTTATGGTGGTGAATAAAAGGGGGCATGTTTTGGGGCCTATAATTAGGCCAAAGGAGGGGACAAGGAAGGGCCTGATTTGGTTTATGGTTTGACATTAATTTTGGCCAATTATACAGTATTTCATTGAAGACATAATGGGGGGATTAGGGAGATGGACCTTTCGTCCATAATGTAGGAAGAGGAGGGGAAGTGTGTTATTTGATTACTTAAAGTTTAAGAACAACAACAAAAGTTTTTGGTTGTCTTCTTTTTATTTTCTTTCAAGGGACTTAAAATAAGTGAAGGAAGACTTTATTTGAAAGGGAATAAAAGACAAGGCGGTTTGAATGTTTAGGGATGGTTTGGGGTTTAGATGGTTCGGCCCAAGTCGGATGTAGGACAACAATGGTGTTGGTTTGGGCTTCAGATAGGAAAATGAATGAATTCAACCCAATTAAAGTCACCACACATTGGCTTCATTCTCCTGATTTGTTTTTCCTTTTGTGGACTAAGGAAAGTCTTCATTAATGCTCCCGGATATCTAACAAATGCACTTACCCCTACCCGTCCCATACGCCCCGTGGGAAGATGTTAGCCTGGACTTCATTACTGGGCTACCCCGAACTCAACGAAGCAAGAATTCCATTATGGTGGTTGTGGATAGATTCTCAAAGATCGCCCATTTCATTCCCTGCATTACTACATACGATGCTTCCCAAGTAGCCGATCTTTACTTTCGAGAGGTCGTTAAACTACATGGCATGCCCCGTAGCATGGTCTCCGATAGGGATCCCAAATTCCTTAGCCATTTTGGATGACATTGTGGAGAAAGCTAGGCACAAAGCTCAAATTCAGCACCACTAGCCATCCGCAAACTGACGGTCAAACCGAAGTCACCAACAGAACGCTTGGAACTCTCCTTCGAGTTCTAATCAAACAAAACATTAAGCAATGGGAAGAGCTACTGCCGCACGCCGAGTTTGCCTATAACCAGACCGCAAACAAGACCACAGGACTATCCCCGTTCATGGTGGTATTTGGCTCGAACCCCCTCACCCCACTTGAGCTTGATCCCATCGTAGGAAAAGAGCAATACAGTTGGACAGCTGATAAAAGGTCCAAGGAAATTCAAGAGCTCCACGACAAGGTTCGAGAGAAGATTGAAGTAGTAAATGAGAAAGTTAGCACCAGGATCAACAAAGGAAGAAAATTCACTAGTTTTCAGCCCAGAGACTTGGTTTGGATTCACCTGCGGAAAGAGCGTTTCCCCACTAAACGTAAGTCCAAATTACTACTAAGAGCTGACGGTCCATTCGAGGTTTTGGAGAAGATCAACGACAACACCTACAAAGTCAATCTCCCTGGAGATTACGGAGTTTGTGCTACATTCAACGTTAAGGATCTCAGCCCGTATGTTGACCCTGAAGAACTTCCGAGTTTGAGGACAAACTCTCCTTAAGACAGGGAGGATGATATATCCCCGAGCACCACAAATCGTCCTCAAGTCCTTAAGCAAATCAATGGAATAATGTCCAAGTGTTATGATCCCCTTTAGAATGAAATCATCACCAAACCATGCACCCTAATCATACTTACCCTGAACCCATCCATCACCACCTTAATAACCAATCCAACATCTCAAAAATCATTCCCAGGAATCCAAAGCAAACCAAACCACAATTTCCCTTCCCTTTTTTCTTTTACAATGCCAAAAATAAGTGTCCAAAACAACACCCAATGTGGCCCCCATTATGTTCCCCAATACAATTAAATTACAACCCCAAATGCCCAGGGATATTTTCCTTCACAATAATACCTCCACTCCCCACAACAAACCTACAACAAAACTCCAAATAACACACTCCACACGCACCCCTTTGTCTCCCCATCCTGACCAAACTCAAATTCCCCCATAACCTCCACAAATACCCAGACAAATGTACCACATTATCTTACCCCCACTTCTTGGCCCTCAACCTCAACCCTCCCCACATTCATCCCTCCTTCCCCCAACATTTCCAGCCACTCAGGAACAGCCCAAAACCCCACCAAGCAGCCCATATCCCTGATTTCATTCCACTCAAGAAACATGAGCACATGAGCATTATTTTAAGTGAGTTGTATTTTTATCTTTTCCCCTCCAATGTTATTCTATATATTCAGCAATAGGCCTGGGTGTAGGAACACATTGTATTCCATTTTAAATCAAAGTGATTCACTTGTGTGTTTCATTCCAAATTCCTAATCCTATATCTTAAGAGTGGTTCTCTTGAGTGTGATTTTTAGGTTCTAGTTATTTAAATAAGTGTGTGATATCTTATTTGAATGCTAGACTCAACCCCAAGTTAAGATAAGGGTGTGTGATATCGCTTAACACCAACTTGGTTTGTTCCCCTCCCCCAAGAAAATACTTCTTTTCTTTTTCCCGAGTCGTCATATAATCGATTTTCACTGATAATAATCGATTATCCATCCTTCTTGAAACAACCACACCCTTCAATAATCGATTATCCTTATAAGACAATCGATTATCAGCCTTCCCCAGTTACCCGCAGCCTTCAATAGTCGACCGACACCCCTCTGTCACTCGATTATCACCCTTCCCTGAAAATCTTGGAAAGTTTGCCCAAGAACCTGAACCCCTTGACAATCGATTATCCATTTAGGACAATCGATTATCTTCCCCCTGCAAATAAAGATTTCTTAAGTCACGTTCATTGCCCATAAAACCCTGAGCTTAGATATAACAAAACTGTTGTACCTCAAAATGCTCAAGATACACAAGAACCCCGTAGGTCTAACCGGTTACGCACACAATCTGAAAGGTATGGATTCATCCTAACCTTTGAGGGTGACGAAATGCTTATCGACTAGGATGAGCCAGAGACCTACCTCAAGGCAATCAGTTGTCCCGAGGCTGAGGAATGGCGTCAAGCCATGCAATCCAAAATGGATTCCATGTACATCAACTAAGTATGGACTTTGGTTGATGCACCCGAAGGGATAAAACCCATTGCATGCAAATGGGTATTCAAAAAGAAGACTGACATGGATGGTAAGGTACAAACCTTCAAGGCACGATTGGTAGCAAAAGGATATCATCAAATACATGGTATCGACTCTGACGAAACTTTTTCTCCACTTGTCATGATTAAATCCATTCGGATCTTACTTGCTATCGCAGCATACCACGATTATGAAATCTGGCAGATGGACGTCAAAACGGCTTTCCTTAATGGAAACCTCCTTGAGGATATCTTTATGACACAACCTGAAGGGTTTTGCGCTCCTGAAGAATCTACCAAGGTATGCAAGTTGCAGCGATCAATCTACAGATTGAGGCAAGCCTCACGGAGTTGGAACATCCGCTTTCACGAAACCGTCATCGGCTTTGGTTTTGAAAGAAATTCGGATGAATCTTGTGTATACAAGAAGGTCAGTGGGAGTGCTGTGGTCTTCCTTGCTCTGTATGTTGATGACATACTACTCATAGGAAACGATATTCCTACCTTAACCACCGTCAAAACGTGGTTGAGTAAGAGTTTCTCTATGAAGGACTTGAGAGATGCCAATTATGCACTTGGCATAAGGATCTATAGGGATAGATCACAAAAGCTGTTAGGTCTCAGTCAAAGTACATACACAGACAAGGTCCTCGCTAGATTCAGCATGTCTGAATCGAAACGAGGAAGTTTGCCTATGGTCCAAGGTGAGTCTTTCCAACTCAGGGTGCTTCCACTCCAGAGCAAGTAGAACGTATGAGAAATGTTCCTGTTGTACCCGAGACCCGGGGTCTTATCGAGTAGCTATTTTGTGGCGGATTTGCGGAAGGAAATGGATGATGAAATTGAAGGGATGAAATATGGAGTGTGGGAAAGAGTTCTTTTTGGTGTTTTTAATGAGAGAAAAGAATAAGTTTAAGAAGAAGAAATGGTGAGGAATGAAATGGGCAGAAATAAAGTGAAGGGATAAACCAAGTTGGTGTTAAGAGATATGACACACTTTATCTTAACTTGGGGCTTTTATCCTCCTTTACACATTAATAATCACTACTAATGTATAAAATTAGACTCCTAACATGCACTCAAAAGTAGCCAACTTTAGAGATATTTCATTAGGAAATTTGGTTAAAATAGCATCACACTATTTTAAAGAATTACTTAAAGAGTAAAACAAAGGCTTTTAATTCAATAATCTGGTTATTACAATGGCCTCATGGCTGAATTATTTATACAACAACAAATAAGGAAAAATACAATAAAGGAAACTTCTTACTTCTTTCCTAAAAATCAAAGATTAATGTCCTTCCATGTGAGCTGATTTTCCACAAAAAATTGCTGCCAGGTACCCCTTATTTTGGGATAAAGACGGGCAAGTCCCATTTTTTTAAAAAACTTACTCAAGGGGATTTAAAATATGATGTTTGTGACCGAGGAGGGAACTTCCGTCCATTGCACCGTTAAGATTCCTTCTCCGTTATCCTCTTCTTCTTCTTCTTTTTTTCTTCTTTTCTTCTTTTTCTTCTTTTCTTCGTTTCATCTTCTTCTTCTTTTCTTCTCTTCTTCTTCTTCTTCTTCTTCTTCTTTTCTTCTTTTCTTCTTCTTTCTCTTATTACTTCATATTTTATTAGGTATTGTTATTTTATTATTTTTTATTATTATAATAATTATTTATTATTATTATTTTATTTTATTAGTATTTTTACTACTATAACTTTTTTTATTAGTTTTATTACTCTAAATCTTTAATTGAAAATTAATTTTAGTAATATATTTACGTATCATTTATAAAATTAAAATTATTTATTCACTTGGTTATAAATTATACGTCGTAATTCATAACAATATTAAATTTAACACTATTTTTATTGTTTCATATTATCTTTACAAGACATATTAAATTTAACACTATTTTTATTGTTTCATCTTATTCTTTTCTCAAGTCCTCTTGTTTTCTCGATTTACCATGACACCATTACCAATGGCGACTATCAATGACTAATGCGGAGTACTATTTTTCTAAATAATAATGATTGTTACTCCGTATTTCTTAAAAATAGAGTAATAAAATTACTACTCTGCAATTAATTTTTAATAATAATTAAGGAAATAAAAGGAAATACATAATATTATCTCTGTGTCGGAGCATATGTCACGTTTTGACTTTTTTCAATCAACTGCTTTTAATTTTTGACCTATTATTAAATAAAACATATATTGTATATTAATTCGATAAAGTAATATTTTGAAAAAAATTTATATATTAAATCTAATAAAACTATTTTTGTATCAATATTTAATATTATTTTTTTAATATAGGGTTAAATTTTATCAATTTTGACAAAAAAAAAAGTAGACAAATACTCTAGAACAGACGAGTAATTGATATGAAGTAATAATAATAACTAGTGGTATTTTTTAAAAAAGTACAGAAGTAAAATTACTAATTAATTGCTTAAAATAAATAATAGTATTAATAATAAGTGTTATTTTATAATAAGTGCTATTTTTCTAAATAACAATTAGTGTTTTTATAGAAAAGTGTGGTAAAACTAACTATTAATTTTTAATAATAATAGTAATAATAATAAATCAAAAAATTAATAATAATAATAGAATAAGAAAATAATAATTATGAAGTAATTAATTATAATAATTATTAACAAATAATAATAATTATAATAGAAGAAGAAAAAAATAAAAGAAAAGGTAAAAGAAGAAAAAAACGGGGGTGGGGGGAGGAATGGAGGTCACTGGAAGGCAGAAGAAAGAAGAAGAAAAGAAGAAGAAGAAATGAAGAAAAGAAGAAGAAGAAAAAGAAGAAGAAGAAAAAAAGAAGAAGAAGAAGAAGAAGAGGAGGAGGAGGAGGAGGAGGATAACGGAGAAGAAGTATTAACGGAGGGAATGACGGATTGTCACCCCGGAGTCAGTTTTCGAATATCTTAAGGTACCTCGGAGTATATTTTGAAAAACAATGGGACCTGCCAGTCTTTATCCCAAAATTAGGGGTACCCAGCAGTAATTTTTTGGATTTTCCAAGATGCTTCTCCTGATTTTCGGCTGATCTTCCTTGGGTTTATTTAGGGAGAATTTCGTGCATATAAGGGAGAAAACAAAGGGGAATCAAGCTTTAGACTTTTGTGAATAAAATGTCAAAACAGCACTATTCATTCAATGACTTTGTTTCTGATTTTGTTCCTTTGTTTCAAAACTGATTATGCTTTTTGCTTTGTGAAACAAAAGACTTTATTATTTGTTAAAAATCAGGGGATAGTTTCAGCTTTATATCCAATCTTAGGATGAGCAAACAGGAACTGATTCACTCATTCACTCAGGGTTCAGAGACGTATGAATAATCGATTAGCACATTTAGTAAATCGATTAATTGAGTTTAGCTCAAACTGGGAATGTTCTGAGGAACCCGATAATCGATTGACACTACAAGACAATCGATTTACAAGGACTTATTCGGAACTGGATATTTTCTGAGGGTGAGGATAATCGATTATCAAGTTATTGACAATCGATTAAGAGAAGTTAAGGACTTTGAAGAAGAATCTGCAGACTTCAATAGTCGATTATCAATTAAGGATAATCGATTATTTAAGGGTTCAGAATCAGGATTAGAAGAAAAGAAGGGAAGGCATTATTTGGGTAAAAGGTTTTTGAAAAGACAAAAACAAGAAACAAAGGTTTTGGATTTTATTTTCGATGAGGGGTTAAAATGGATGGAAAACACTTTATTTTGGATAAAAGAAAAGAAAGAAAACTTTTGGATAATATTGGGAGAGTTTGGATTTTGGTGGAGTCATCCAGGGGTATATCATACTCCCCTTCTTCGAAGAAAGTTTGTCCTCAAACTTTCGCACCACCGTGACTGATTGGGGTTTCATAAAAGAATTCCCGGATCAAATGGAAAACTTGAGAAACCACCAATGATGAGGTTCTTTCCGGAATAAGTTGGCACCTCTTTTTGTACTGTCCAGAAAAATGTAATCATTGTTCGTAGAACCTCCTTCACATAATCTTCAATGATTGGATGAGATTCCACTACGTCAAAAACAGATGCTGACAACTGTTTCTTTTAGTAGTCTCACGGTGCTGATTTCAGTAGTCTTCCGAGCAGCTGTCTGATATATTTACAGACTATTGTTTAAAAACAGTTGTGTAAAATGGTTGACGACACTTGTTTTGTAATGTTTTAGAGTACGACTTTTTAGTGTTGTCCTTGTATGAGTAAGACATCTATTTTTTAGAGTTAAAGAGAACTGTGATTTTTTGTTGTCTATATATAATGAATACTACTGTTGTTTTTAACTTTAGACTTATAATTCTTGGTGTTGTCGTTCAACAATATAGACATCTACTTTAAAAAGTAATTAAAAGATATATCAGACTGCTGCTCGGAAGACTACTAAACAAAAATGTCATGAGACAACTGTTATCTTTTGTTGTATTTCTAGAATATGGACTACTAACATTACTCTTATTCAAACTACTGTTTGTTTTAGTTGTATATTGATTATTAACACAACGGTATTTTGTGGTTTTTCTTGAAGTATTCAAACTATCTTTTATGACAGTAGTTGAATTTTTTATAAGACAGCTACTCTAAAGACTACTAAAGAAATTTGCTTCAGACAACCATTATTTCTCATTGTATTTAAAAAATATGAACTACTGTTTTTGTAGTATTTCAAACAATTGTTTGTTTTGATCGTTTAAATGTTATTAATACTATGAGTTTGTGTAGTTGTACATATACTCTTCAAACTATTAGTTTGAATGATAGTTGAATTTTTTTTATTAGACAACTGTTATTTTGTGTTGATTACCAAATAAATATAAATTCAAAAAATACAATATATTGAACAATATATAAATTCATACATTTAAAATACTATTAACATCTAATAATTTAATATTTACATCATCTTCCTTACAATTTGCATATTATACATGCCTGCCTTTTCAATCCATCCTATTCCTCTGTGGAAAAATCCAATACGAATCCGTATTTCACGTCGGCTTTGGCTAGGCGTTCCATGGCGGTGTTGACATAGTCCATCGGCACAATCTTAACATCGGGCGTGATGTTATGTTGGCTTGAGTCTCCTTTAATTTATTCCAGTGATGCCATTTCTTGCAACCAATTTTCAGCCTGCGATCCACAATCAAAACATGAAATTAATGTCATTTAGTTCATTTTAGATCAATGCCAAGGCAGAGCAGAGATATGTACAACAAGTGAATGGAAGTGTGGCTAATATTACATACCCATGATGAAGGGAAACGCCAACAAGTCAAGGGGTTTCTCCGGGAGACCAACCAATACAAGCTTACCATTGCTCTTCAATAAGCTTAGTAGTGGCGTAAGAGGATGAACTGCAGAAACTGTGTCTATTATCCCATCAAGTGTGCTCTTTGTAGCCTTTTTTCCACATATACCAAAACCAATTATAAACCAATTGTAAACCATATCATCATCAGAATTGTTAGCGAAATGAATAATAATACTCTTTAATTATGAATAAATTAATCATAACTTACCTGCATTTGTTCAAGGTCACAACTGATCAAGAAGGAATCAACACCAAAACGTTCTATGACCTCTTGTTTTTTGTCGGCAGAGGTGCTGATGACAGTAACCTGAAGGCTTTGGTGTACTTGACAATTCCTTAAGATTATGAAAAAGATATGATAAACCAAAATCAGTTTCACTTACAAAATCAACTCGAATTGTTTTAATTTTCTCTTGAAAATTAGCTTCAAACTCAGTCTGTTTTTAAAAATCATGCCTGAAGGGTTTAGTTTTCTTTTGTAAATCAGCTTCGACATCAGTTTCCTTTAAAATTTCTGCCCCCAAAGTTTCACTTTCTTCATAAATATGAGCTTTACAAGTCCTAAATTCAGCCCCTAACTCATTTTCTGTTTCAAACTCACCTCTTAAAGGTTCAGTTTTATCTTGAAAATCAGCTTCACAACCATATTCATTTGAAAAATCAGTCCCTAGAGCTTTAGTTGTACCTTGGAAAACACCTTCAAAATAAGATTCTTTATGAAAATCAGCCCTAAAAGTTTTCCCTTTCCTTAAGGATCAAGTACAAAATTAGATTCTCTTTCAAAGTTTGTTTTGACAGTTTGCTTTTGGTAGTGAAAATCAAATTCCATATCAGATTCACTCCCAACACACAAAGCAACAAAAACAACAAAGCCAGAGTAATCCCACAATTGGGGCACGGGAAGGTAGGATATACATAGGCATAAACTCTACCCACATAACATACAAAACACATAACATAACATATAAAACATCCAAAGCCGCAGCAGCTACAAACAACAGACAAACCAGGTAGATTCAAACGAATAACATGAGTTCGTTGTTGCCCGAGCTAAAGGAAAATCAGTGGAATCACATCCAGCATTGAATCACAAATCTAGATAAGGAATTATACACACCCTGAATCATGACAAAAAAGCACCAAAATTCGGAGGAAAACAAAAGCATAAACCTGGGGATTTGGAGTCTCAACCTTCCGCTATGAACAGTAAATTCGAGACAACCAATCGCTCAAATCATTGGAATCTTAACATGGATTGGAAATCCAGTTTGAGATTCAAAGAGAGCTCCCATATTCGCTAGTGAGTCCCCAAAACTTCCGCTCCATTTTAGCAAGAAGATGGCCAAATCATTTTTCAAACTAGTTTATTTTAAATTTTTAGTATATACATTTCATCATTTCATCTAAACTAGTTGGTTTAGATGATATCAAATCAAATCATTTCTTATCAAATAAGATTAAATCAAATCAAATTAAAAGAATTTTAAATATAATTACAATTAGATCAAACAGATTAAATCTATTCCAATTAAATCAGTGAAGATTAGATCTAATAATATCTAATGAAATCGGGTCTCATCATATCAGATTAGACTAGATCAAATTAAAAGAGTTTTTAATATAACCAATCGGACTAATTAGATTAAATCGGACAAAAACAGATCTAAACGGAATAAATTAAAGTCAAATCCAATAAGATCAGATCAAATCTTCAAAAATATCGAATCAAATCAAATTAAAATCTTGTAAGATCAAATCAAATATTTAAAAAATCAATTTAATTGTATAGGTCGTGTCATATTTGCCTAATCTAATCCTTAAATGCATCATATCGGATCTAATTAGATTGAATCAGACAAAAATAGATCTAATCAGATCAAGTAAAATTCAAATCTATTAAGATCAAATCTATTAAGATCAGATCAAATCATAAAAAATAATTTAATTATATAGGTCGTGTCCTGTTTGCCTGATCTAATCTATAAATGCATTAGATCAGACCAAATTAGATCTAATCAATTTACTTGTCAAGGTTGTGTCTTATTTTCCAGATATAATCTTTAAACGCATTAGATCGGACCTAATTAGATCGAATCAGACCAAAACAGATCTAATAGGGTAGGGTCGAATCAAATTCCAATGCAATTCGAAAATCTATCCACTTGTATAGGTTGTGTCCTATTTGTCTGATCTAATCTTTAAATGCATTAGATCGGATCTAATTAGATCGAATCAGACCAAAATAGATCTAAACGGATCAAATCAAATTCAAATCCAATAAGATCAGCTCAAATCTTCAAAGAAGATTTATTCACTTGTGTAGGTTGTGTCCTATTTGCCTCATATAATCTTTAAATACATCAGATCGGACCTAATTAGATCAAATTAGACTAAAACAGATTTAATTGAATCCAATGAAATTCAAAGCCAATAAGATCAGATTAAATTTTCAAAAAGATATATTCATTTGTATAGGTTGTGTCTTATTTGCCTTATCTAATCCTCAAATGCATATGATTTGATCCGATTAGTTCTGTTTTGGTCTGATTTGATCTAATTAGACCAGATCTAATGCATTTAAGGATTAGATCAGGCAAATATGACACAAATTAAGAAAAAAAGTATAACTAAATTATTACTTTATTATTATAGTGGTAAATGTTAGGTATTTTCACTATTTATTTTTTGGAAACCCATCTTGTACTATTAAGAAAACAATTTAGTTTGATTTGGGATATAATTTGTTAGATCCATTTGAAAACTCATTTTTCGGTTCGGTACATTATTGTTCCAGTTTGAAACAATATCAAACTGGTATTTTTACGTACCCCTGATTGAAAGTGATACATAAGAGTGAGAAAATTTATGGACAAAAAAAACTTTTTTGTTTCAAAAATTAGATTGCTGCTTTTAAAAATTTTCAAGTTCATCACAAATTTTAGAATCCCTCCAGATTCTCCATTACCCGCCTAATATGTGCCCCCAATTTCGCAATTAGGTCTATAGCATCCCCTTCAGAATATCTCTTCTCCTATAGAGATAATTTCCGTCGTTTTCTTCAAAATCATAGCCATCTCTTGTACTTGTCCGATAGAGAGAGATCGGTTGTAATCGACAGAGAGAACCTTCAGAGATTGAGAAAAAGGACGCGAGCAAATGATCTATTAGGGTAAAATGCTTCAACTAGTCACTTATTCTAAGTTGTAGTGTATGAATATATTTTTTTCTATCTAAAGTGAGATAAAATTTGTGGCGAGAATATGAACTATGCTATGTATTTCCAGCGTCAATTAACTATGTTATATAGGCCTTTTGTTGCCTTGGGGTAAAATGCTTCAACTAGTCACTTGGAGGTGCACTTGGGAGTCAAATACCTTAGATGAGAGGTCATGGACTGTATTTTGGGGCAATGATTGGACTGCAAGCTGAAACTGAACTATGGGGCACTGGTTTGCTGCTGGTTTTGCACCGATTTGCTGCTGGTGTTGCTGATGTACTTGGCCGAAAGCACTGCTAAGAACACTGCCAGGAAGCTGCTGGTTTTGGTTGTGTTTCTAGAGTGTTTTGAGCTGTTGTTTTGACTGGCCCAACCATAGGCAGTGGCACACTCTTGAAGGGAGTTGTGTGGCCATTGTTTGACACTTGATGGGGCTGGTTTGACCTTTTTGTGACATTGATTGAGGTTCCACTACTACATAATAGACATTTAACATCGCCCCATACCCATC